TACTTAGCTTTAGGCTTTAATGTCTTCGCAAAGTTAGACTTTTTTTCCAATACAAAAGGTTAATACTGCGAAATTTCGTTGTAGGGAACTTTTCACCCATTTCTTTTGCTTTGTAGCTCCTTTTCTAGGACACGGATTATAGTATAATATAAAGTCGACTGGCTAGAAAAGAACAAGTTTTCTTCTAATATAAAAATGTATGTTTGCTAGTTAATTTATGAATTTTTAAGAACAACCTCCATGACAACAATAAATCTAATATAATTTTATAAGTGAGTTCTGAAAAAAACAGCTTATATATCTATTTTTAAAAAACGTCCGATTTGAATGATGCACGACAAAAGAAAAATACAAAAAATTAAGAGAACATAGAAATAATAGAAAATGCTTAACATAGCAGTAAAAAAAGGAGTACTAATAACAATAACAACTTACTGATGAAATAATTAAAGCACATAAAAAAACTCAAATAGTAATCAAAATAGTAAAAATGCTAGGACGATAATAACAATATAAATTTTTAAGGCCGTCCAAAATCTCATAATTTTTTCCCTGTCAAATCTCTCATGTAGTTGCTTGATCAATCAGTGTATAGAACCGTATCAGCCACTGGATCATTTTAATGATTTGGTTAGTAAATAATACAAGAGTTGATCATCAAATAATAGTATATAGTACTGGCACCATACGTTTTTTTTTTTTTGGCACATGCAAATAGTCAACATGACAAAGATGGAAATAGTCCAAAAATCCTACTTGCTTTATTTAATTTTATTTCAATCTTTTATTCCGTTGCCACCAACCTCATCATAGTCAGAAATATCCGGACCAAGATAGACTTTTAGCTGCATGCATTAATGGAGAAATCTACAAAACAAATTATATAGATCCCATTTTTATAAATTTGTTTATTTAAGTATATTTATTATTATTATTATTATTATTAAAGACTATAGTGATGTAAACTTCAATTGTTTGCCGCAAATCAGGTTTGCTTTCTTCGTATTCTTTATAGCTTTGGGGGATCATCATGATTCGTTTTGAAGAATATTTCCTAATCTCAGATTTTTTATAATATTCGAGTTTTTAAAATATTATTTCGAAATAATTAAACCACTAGTTGAAAGTCCGAAACGGCATAACACATTTAATAAAAATATGAGGAAAGGAAAGTGTAAAGTCTTCTAAATTAAATATACGCTAGGGCTCCATATATATAAATATTTATAACTGTTCCTATTGAAAAATTTATACTTTGCATACATGGCCAGTTAGCCACATAATCAGAAAAGTTGCCGGACAGTATCGATATATATACTTTAATCAAATTATGTAAGCTATGATGAAAATGTTTTCATACTTTGTCATCCGTTAGAATTTAATTTTTCGTCTTATAATTTTCTTTTTCGTTTTTCTTTCCTATTCTCTGCGTATAATAATAATAAAATAATTCATTATTTTTGATTGTTAGAAATCAAATCAAAGTAAACAACACTATATATTCCTAATTTTATGAAAGTTGGACATTTCTCCAAAAGTCAACTTTCAAGCTCTCACATCAAAAACTTTTTTACAATACATTATTGAAGACGTATCCAACAAGATATATCTCGAAAATATTTAGCTGAACAGCTAAAACTTTCTTAGTCAAAAGTGTTTCGCTGTAATTTAGGATCAAAAACACACTTTTAATTATTTATTTTAGAAAAATTATATTTTAAATTTTTGATAGTGTAAATTTCATATCTAAATTGTCACTTATAGTTTAAGAAATACATATCTCTCTTTTATTACACTCTCACTCATTAAGATATATATAATAAACTCTTTTTTAATTTAAAACATTGTCAATCACACTAAACATAGATTAAATATTTAATCTTGACAAATATTAAATAAATTAGTAATATTAGTTGAAGTTATAAAATAAAGTCTTACTAATCTCCAAAAAAAACAATGTATACAATAAAATATAAATATTTTTCTTTCTCCACTCAACCATTGCCTCTCACCATACTACCCCACCTTAATTTTTTATAAAAAACCCCCGCTTCAATTTCTTTTTTTCTTGTTTTGTTTTGTATTAGATATATGGTTTTTTTTATAGAATTATTTTTTGCTTGCCACAAGATTTTTTTAAAAATAAATTTTTCAGTTGAAAAAAAATATTTTTCTAAAAAAATGTACACATCTAAAAAGAATGAAGAAAATATTAAAAAATAATTATAAAGTAAAAGCGGAGATTAGGGTGCGTTTGGTACGAAGAAAAATGTTTTTCATGAAAAATGTTTTCCTAGAAAACAAGTAGATTTTGGACTTATTTTCTCATGTTTGGTTGGTGAGTAGAAAATATTTTCCGGAAATGATTTTTAGTGTTTGATTTATGAATGAAAAATATTTTTAAGAAACATCTTTTATTTTTACTAGAATAGAAAATAATTTCTGAAATTTAACATATTTTTCAAAAATAAATTTTTTTGGGGGTGGGAAAATAAAAATTTGAACTTAATAATATTTTTTTTAAAAAAATAAAATTTGGAGGGCGGGGGTGGGTGGGGGGTTGGTAGGAGTGGGTAGGGGGCTGGCGGGAGGGGGATAGGAGCTTAAAAATAAAAATTTGAAGTTGAAAATATTTTTATAGAGCAAAATTAATCTTTTTGGGAGGGGGGTTGGGTGTGGGGGTGGCCGGTGGTGGGTGAGTGAGTGAGAGGTTAGAGATCGGGTGAAAAAATAAAATTTTAAAATTGATGTTCTTTTCCCAAAAAAAAATGTAATTTGAAATTAGAGAAGAGTTTTGGAAAATGTTTTTCTTAATTTTTTTAAGGGAAGTCATTTTCCTTAATTTTGAGGAAAATGAGTTGATTTGAAAAACATTTTCCAGAAAATATTTTTCTTCGTACCAAACACACTCTAGATAGATGGAATAAAATTTTAATTAATTTTTCTAAAATGATATGATATTTTAGCAAGGAGTAGGGAGGGGGGTGGGGTCTGAATTTTAAAAAAATATTTTCTAAACGAATTTAACAAAATAAAAGGACGGGGGATTGTCGTGTGGGGCGTGGGTTAAGAAATGGTGGTTGTGGGGAGAGAAAATTATTCATTCTTTACTCTTTAGTTTCTAAATACTATTATTTATTTATTTATTTTTGACGAGGTGATATATTTTGACGTGGAATGCTATTGACGAGGTTTTTTTGTAAATTGTATTAATATCGTTTAAAATAGAGTATATTAGTAATGTTTGTATTAGTATTGCATGTATAGTTATGTTTACATTAATTATATGTAGGTTATATTTATTGGCGGACTCACGATTTTTATTTAGGGGGTTTAAAAAATAAAAATATAAACGTGTAAATAAATTTTTAGAAATGAGACCTTGAATTTTTTTGGATTTCACTTTTAGCACGTTTTAAAATAAATAATGAGACTATAATATTCGGGAACTTGTCACTTAGCCATTTATTTCTATTTGCTTTTGAGGGGCTTCAAAATATATATATCTACAAAATACAAAAAAATTGTCATATATATCATGTAATTTTTTTCGAGGGGGTTCACCAAGGTGGTCCGCCCCTGATTATATATATGCATTGTTTGATTTGATGCATTAAAAATAAAATGCCTCGAAAATTATTTACAAAGATTCCTTTCACTATTATGGTGAAAAAGATATAAAACATGTATTTTGAGGGGCAATTGTGTCTTTAATTGAGTTAATGCATGCATTAAAAGCATTACATTTCTAATATCTAGAAATCCATAGTAATAACAATACACACCTTAATGCACAATAGAGAGTAGGTTGAAAAAGAGTATCAAACAAGGTACTAGTGTCTAGTAATAATACACAAAGCTAATGGATGCATTATTTTTTTTTAGGGAAAATTTCATATATGGCAAACTTATTAGATTAAATAACATTACATGGGTATAGTTTACCTAATTACTTTATATGGGTATAGTTTAGTTATTTTAGGTATCTTTAATTTTGTATATAATGTTTTTTTTATTTATACAATTATATTTTAAAAAATGGTTTTTAACTGAAGCATTAAATATGCTAACAATAAATTTAGATAATGCCACAATTTTAGGGAAACGTCCTTTTTTTTAAGCTAAACGTTCAAATTCAAAAAAAAAAACTGTATATATATATGAACTTACCTTTTTTGTATATTTATATATTGTACATGAATATATTAGTTAAACGTGACATTATATACAAGTTTCTAAATGACTTTTTATATACTCCAATAATATATAAAGTCAATATATACTAACTTCAATAATTTGTATATAACTACTACAATATACAAATTATAATCGCATATGATATTTTTCCATCTATATAACTAAATCCAATTACTTTGTGTACATATGTATATAAAAAATAATGAGCCTTTCATATACAATTTCCTACTACCAGCTATT